TATGTATGTATGTATGTATGTTGATAGCCCGGGTAAGGGTCATGTTACATGTTCGGGCGTTGAGGGTATATTGCCATCGTTATCATCACTTTTGTTATGAGCGTTCCTTGTGTTAGTTCTGGTTGCTGTCACTGGTATTGCTACGCAGTTCCAAGACGTGAAACCTTGACGAGGCAAACCAAAACCTAATTATATCACCAACGCATACCAAAGCCACACATGCTGTACGAAGTTTCTCAACCGTCAAGCAAGCCTAGAATCCCAAGCTATCGCCCCAGCCCTGAGGCGAAACCCGGAGCTAAAGCGTCAACTTGTCAAGCCCAAACTGCAAGCTAACTCCTCAACCCTCCAAGTTAACGCCTCAACTTTAACCCGGCCGCCCCGGCCCCGCCCTGTGCACCCAAGAACTAAAACCAACAGTTCCTCCAAACCCGAGCCTCAACCAAGTCAAGCTGTCTTCCAAGGACAGTTCATCTGAGAAGTGCAGACCATTTCCGCTTGACCATAGAAACAGCTGTTGGCCTGGCGATGGGTATGGACAGCCTGGAAGCTGTTTCTCTTCAGCAATGTAAAGACACCATCTCTGGGCAGATTCCTTCGCGAGCCACCCTCAACCGCTCCAGATTCCGCTTGGATTTTCTTCACATGCTGTTGCGACGTGGCTCTTCTGCGAGCAAGAACACACATGGAAAGTCCGAGCGGCACATAGGATAGGTAAGGTAGCAACGTATAGGAAAAGGGGCGAGTGGCGTTCTTGCCTTTTGTGCACAGGCCCCACCCCTCCCAACCCCAAGCTGCTCCAGGTCGCGCGTGGGGCACCCGTGGTTTCAGATCGCGCTGGGTCTCGCTCTGTTGCTTGTTGTATGATGTATTGGCACGATCTGAGTCCGAAGACTGAACGTTGTGTAACTGAAGCGGCTCAATGTTGACAGTTTTGTTGTCTAAGTTTCGTGTTTCGCAGGCTACGACGCAAGCCCTCAGAAAAAGGAGTTGTTCGTCATAGAGGAGCACACTGTCAGTGCTGAAGCCGCCATGAACATCCTTTTGGAAGAGCTTCGAGACGAAGATACTACTAGTTCTGCAGAGCCTTCAGAGGCATGGGATCCAGTCATTGGGGCAGCGTCTGAAACAAAGACAGAGTTGCTGGATTCTGAAAGACACGTGCTACCTTTGGCATGCTTGGGCAGCGGATGCTTGCATGCATTCGCATTCCGCATTCGTGTCCATTCGCCATTCGTCTTCTGGTTTCCTATGTGTTTTCGAATTTCTTGTAGTACCAGGTCGAGGTCAGGTCTTGATTGTGGTCACCATTCAGAAAATCATTCCGCGGTCCGGGGGAGGTGGGCGGCTGCTCCAGCGCCGCAGGTTTGGGGGAGGGGAGGGGGGTGTGCGGGGAGGAAAACGGCCAGGTTTGGGGCTGGGTTGGGCGCGGGGCTGCTTGCGAGGGTTTTGATTGGGTGAAGGGCTTGCGGGTTTGCATTTGCTCTTGGGGGTGGGGATGGACGAGTTTGCTCTTCTGTTCTTCTGGGCTTGCAGTCATTGCAACGGATAGCAATGTATGGTGACGATGTCACATGATTCACATGCTGCGAGTTGCCCGTGCTTGAGGTTGCACGGCCTTCTGCTTCAAACTTGATGCACTCCTGCATGCCATCCAGCTGGAGGTCGGTGCAGAAAATATAGGACAATACAGTGACCGCGTGATCTCGTGTACCTCCGACCAGGGTGACTTTGTCAAGAGTATGGCTGTTCACATAAGTGTGCTTCTTTCGCTTGATAATGACTATTTTGGTTTGTGTATCTCCCAGGCACGGAGAGGCTCTTGGGAATAGCGCCTGCGATCAATGTGAATCTTCGACTACAGGATGAAGCGCACATCTTCGGGACAAAGCACATACCTGTTCGGGACACCTCCGCCCTGCCATTGCCGGCACCAGGGCCGGGGTGTCAGTCTCAGCTGGTCCATCCAGCCCTTCCTGGCCCTTTCCTGGGCTTGGAGGACGAACCGTCGTTGCTTGACAAGCCATCGGATGCTTTGGCCTCAGAAATGATGTCCGGGCAGGTGGAGGCTATGGACCTAGATGTGGGGTCACCGCCGCCGCCTCCTGTGGATTATTTTCAACGACAGTTCAAAAATGCTATCTTGGTTCCCGGTCTCAAACACATAACAGACAATTGTCTTCAAGATACTCTGAGTCAGATGCGACTGTGACTCATCCACATCGAGCAAGAAGGATTTGTAGTTCATGCTGTCGTAGCTTTGTGCCGGTTTGCGATTTAGGCCGGCTGCTTTCAGCATGTTCAGATCAATTTCCATGACCTCCACCATACCAAGATGGCCAGACATCAAGAAGAGCATGAAGCTCCTTGAAAGGTTGCTGCGCTCGAATGCGTACAGAGAGCGGTTTTCCGCTTTGTGTGTTCAGCCGGTGAACGAGTCGGATGCTGATGATTTCGTGAACTTCAGCTCCAGCCTCGCCTCTCTGCGATGGGAGTGTATTGTTGATTTTGCTTCTGCAGCTGCTTGACTTGACACGGTATAGCAACTCACGCCTTTGTGTTCATCGCTGCCTCGTTGGTCGAAAATCGTTATTTGAGCTAGAATGAACCGTCTGACGCTCAAGAATGTTTGGTTTGCATGTAACTTGTGTAGTGTCTCATTTCTCAAAGGTAGGCTGTTGCGTGCGTGGTGTGGCCAGACCGGCTTGCTAGGTTACGCCTGAGTAGATGTTGATGGCGAGAGTCGGATCGGGAGTCGGTCCAGTCAGGCTTCGCGGTTGTTGGGGGTGCGGCGGGGACGGGGTGAGGCTGAGGTTGAATGGAGTTTGGACTTGGTTTCCAGGTTTCTGGTTTTGAATTTGCGCGCATGGCTGTTACGCCGTTATGCTGCTTTGCTGTATCAGGTCCTGCAGTTGGAAACAAAGATCCGCAAATACTGGAGTTTGAAGACATTTCTGGCAGGTGATGCAAACCACAAGAAGTGGAGGCAACAGTCACAGTTCGACGGTGATGCTGATGAGGATGGTGTGGGGGGCAAGGATGTTTGGTTGGATACAGATGCGGCTATTGCTGACCAAATGACTTGGATTGGCATCAACGTTGTGTATGATATAGGCGTGGAGTGCGAGCACATTGGCCGGTGGGCCGAAGCATGCGGATGTCCGGAGCACCAGCCGCATTCGGATTCGATTGTGTCAGCATCTCACGCGGCCCAGACATCGAAGCATCAGGCCAACCCAAAGGCCGGCCAGGCCAAGACCAGCCGCAGGTCTAAACCAGTTTGCCGGCTGACCGCCAGGGGATTCAATCAGAAGTTGTGCCCATTCAGAGGCTGCAGAGCTCCGGAGCTCGCAGCCGGCCTAGCCATGAAAGGCCAGCTTGGTCTTCTGATGAGCAATCGTTCAGAAATCCTGAAGCATGTGAATCGGGTCCCACTTCAGCCTTCCGCCCAAACTGACTTGCTCAACGATTGGCACGTTGGCAGAAGTCGGCTTTGGAGTTCCTCGGAAACAGTTGTGCTTGGACGGTTCTGCGGCGCAAGTTCTGGTTGTCCTGGGTGTAAGTTGTAACAGCTCTTAGGCTGCTTCTTTTTCCAGCCGCTTCAACCGCTTTCAATGCGCCAGCGTTTAGCTTCTTTTCGAAACTCTATAGTCTCAGGTTATCTGGTTCTGAAGTTGGCTTTTTGGCAAGAGTTGCCATGGCGTCTTTGAGACTCGTCAGCAGCAGAGAGGCAGAGAGCATGTCTAAATGACAGAATGTATACACGAGGGAAGAGTTCATGATACTTAAGTCCAAGGTGCCCTTGCCCACTGGGATTCACTCATCGTTACCCGTGCAGCCCAAGATTGTCTGGCGCTCTACACCCGAGGGGGAGCAGGTGCTCGCCACATGATGGCACGCCGCTTTCTCGAACCAGGCTTCAGCGGTGGTGTTCACGACCCAGGTCTACGGGCACAGGTGGAGCACCTGGCATCTGGGGGCACCGTAGCAGGCCTGGCGCTTGAACAACAGAGAGCCATAACATATTGGCTGGCAGCATTGCGCACCGCCCCCTGTCACGGAACGAAGTTTCAAGTTAACGAAATGAAGCTTTGTGTAACCAGATGTTCAGATAGCCGCATTGCTTTAGGTCCGCGTCGTGGAGCGCTCTGTTGAGGGGGTCCACAGTTTGATCTCACGCACATTGCGCAGATCACCAGCCGCGAAGATACCGTATTTGAGCATGGAAGTGAGATGGTCACAACTTCTCGCTGCGGCGGTCAAAGGTCCAGAAGAGCCTGGGCAACCTGAATTTGAGCAAGTGTGGCTGGCTGGCTTTGGTTTGGGCGGACCGGGCCTGGGGCTGTAATTGTGCGATTCCGGAATCATAATCCACTGTAATCCGCAGTGCCCGGCAAACTCAGGAGGTTCGTGCGCTTTTACACGAGCTTCGTGGCATCGAGGGTTTGGAAGGCTTTCGCCAGGCTATCTTGTGCCTCGTTCAAGGTGGACGATGGCTATCAGTAGTTGGTCTTGGCACCGTGGTCGGGGTCAGCGCCTGCCAGCCTGGGGTCGGTCGGCGGAACCCCAAATCCAGTTGTTCGAGTTCGAGTTTAGAGATTTCGAGCCTGTGCTCCACCTGTAGCAGCCGTACTGCTGACATCACTGTGTCTGACTGTTCGTGTCTAGAATGTGCCTCACAGAAGCCAAAGAATTCACGGGCTGATATATAGATTCGCGTCCACACGCTAGCCTAGCTGAGGCACACTTTGAATCTGAAGACATGCGCTTACCTGGAGCAATTGCCGGAGCATGCCTTGGCAGCCCTCCTTTATCGGGACAACCTCAGGCAGAAGCATGCCAAGAGGAGGAACTTTAGTACACAATTGCAAGGCCAGGTGCGGGATCAGAAGCAGCTCGAGGATGCGGTCGAAGAGCGAGAAAACACAACACCTGGGCTTCCAGCGAACAAGGTTATGGCTGATTACATCATCAAGGCAATTTTGTTGGAAACGGATCATCAAAGGTGAGGGTTCGGAGGTGTGTAGCAGTCTTCTCAGGCCATTCTCGTAGTGCCCATGAGCACAGGTCGGCATGAGCGAAAACATCATCTTGTCCATTTGTGATGTCAGATCTGGTGAAGCTCTGGGTGTGGGGCACGTGCCCGGACCGAAATGTGGATGTGTTTTTCTTTCTTCCACGCTTTCGTGCCTCCGCGCCTGTGTGATACTGCAGTGATCAGGAGTGGAACAGCACATTCAGCGTCGTGGACAAGGGCCATGTCCAGCAGGAACTGCGTGCGATTGTGGATGTAGAGGAAGGCTCTTTCGAAGACGAGGTGAACTTGACTACCATGCATGGGAACACATCTGGTTCCAGCGAGTTGGCCCTAGCAGTCCCCCAGCCTGTGCAGCCAGGGCGAACGACTGGTGCACAAGTTTGCCATGATTTCAATGTGTCCGAGGACTTGTTTGAAGAGCAACATGATCTCTATGGAGCACCTGCGCTGCGGGAGGGTGCGTCAGAGTTCTTCTTCAGAATTGTGGCTTCAGACATGCACAAGACGCACAAATTTCTCGGGAAACAGGTGGCCACATTGGATCACGACTGCGTTGTTGCAGGTCTTCAAGCTAGCACTCAGGGCCGAGGCGACGCATGCACTTCTGTGACTTTGAGGCCCCACGGCTTCCCACGACCCATGAAGCTGCACCTGCACGTTTCGACATCGTCTCCGGATGAGAGTGCCCTTCGTGTTTGGGGCAGAGCTGAGATGCAGGTTGCTGATTTGGGTTCTGCCTTGCTACGTGTTTCCGCACCTCTAGGTGTGGATGAATGGGTTCTAGCTCGATTGAGCATCTCAGCGCTGGAGGATCCTTGTGCGGATGACTTGTGTCTGAAGCGACTTCAATCTTTGGTCGATTCCCTGCAACAGCTCGAAATGGCAGAAGTGTTGGTGCTGCTGAAGCACCGAGGATGGTGTTTACGCGAGCTGCCCCCAGGACAGAAGTTTACTGGTTGGATGCCACAAACCGAGAAATGCATTTGGTGCCGGGATGGTTTGCCGAAGCAAGCCATTTTGGTATGCTTGGTCCTTAGCCCAAAGATATTTCAGCTTGGCCTCGAACTTCTGCCACACAACCAGCCCATGCAGTACTACAACACACTCTTGGCTCTTCTAAGTGCTGGGTCCTCGGAGCTGGGAAAACTTAAGCCAAGCCAGAGGGCGAGGTATTATGCCCAGCTGCAAAAAGATCCATCCAACTGGGCTGCCGCTGATGCCCAAAGCCAACTTGCGTCTGCTGCAGCTGTCCGGTCTCAGGCTTTTGATGCCGATGGGCTGGAAGACGAATTCGGGTACACAGGACAGTGCGTAGAAGTGTATGCGTGATCCGGGTAGTTGATTTGTATATAGTTCTTGTGCAGAAACGTCAATCATGTTGCTGCTTCTTGCTGGCAGCGTGCAGGTGGGATCCATGGTTCCGAAGAGCAGGATCAGGCGGATCCGCAGAACAACGGAAAAGTTCAGCGTCGCAAGCGCAAAGCAAGCAGCGGTCTGCATGACATGACAGCGAAGCAGAAGGAAATGAAAGGAACTCGTCCTCTTGGCCCGTCGAAAGCACCTCCACTACCTCCATGCAGGGAGTTCCTTGATTCACCGGACATACCGTCTGAGATAGATGCAGACCAGGAGTCGTCGCCGGACATGTTGCCTCATCTCGATGAACTCGTGTCCGCTGAACACGCCGCGGCTTTGGCGGCCATGGACATGGAGGCGGCCGAGGCGGCCGAGGCTTCCGCTGCTGCGGCTTCTGCGGCTTTGATGGCGATAGAGGCGGAGGCGGCTGAGGCTTCCGCTGCTGTGGATTCTGAGGCTGTGCAGGGAGGAGGTTCTGGTGGGGGTTCCGGTCACTCTGCAGGGCGACCCGGACCGGAGCCCGCTTCCTCAAGCTCTTCAAGGGCAGCGGCGGTGGCAGCAGTGCCACCTCGACCCAGCGGTCATGGGCGTGTCTTTTCAACGTCGGTCTTCAACGAATCCACGGTCTTTGTCAGATCGATTCCAATCGTGGTCAGGCAGGACAAAAAGGCCATGTATGTCCCGCCAACTATCACTTTCCAGTGGCTGCTGTTCAGTAGTTATGTCACTAGATAGGTGTCGTATGTCGAAACTTCTACAGTCAATCTTCATCGGGTGCTAGGTCAGTAGGTACTACTTGGCAGCCCAAGTAATGGCAGTGCCCCGTGTCCCGGAGGTTCCATGCTTTCTGATTGAATGTCCCCTCCACACCCACACCTACGTCAATGACAAAGGCCAGAAAGTCAAGAAATTGTGTCGCAAGAGTATCCAACACAACCAACCTGATGTTCGAGTGGCTTTGCGGAGAATCAAGCACTGGCTCCTTGCAGGCCTGGGATCCAAGGAGTGGTTTGTTTGAGAGTAAGTGCCGGTGAGTGCAGGTGTATGCGCAGCTCTGATGTTGTGTTTGCAATGTGGAGCACAATCCGATAGAACGTAAACCATGTCTGAACGTCCGATAGAGTCCGATAGAGCTGCCAGGTTGCAATCTTGTGCAGCACACAGGCCGTCCGATTGGCAGGGTTCTGCGCAAACCTTCAATCGGGTCTTTTGGGCTTGGGGTTCAGGGTTCCAAGGTTGATGATTTTTTTCGTTGCACTGGAACCAGCCTGCAGAATGCTTGCCACATTTCTGGTATGACTTGCCAAGACCTGCGCTTATGAGAACGGGAGCTTGGGTCTGCGGTTCTTTCCAGGCTGAGTGGCCGATCCTGTTTGTGGCGTTTTCAATTGTTTCGCGAGTCTTCGTCTGCTAGGCGAGACAGCAGAAGAACTTCGACTTCGACACGTGCACGTCTCTGTCCCAATGGATGATGCTTTGCTCGGGGATGTGGACGAGCGGCTGGAAGAACGATTAGCAGTTCTAGGATTCTGAAGCTGTCGCAACTCCTGGCTACTCGCAAAGAACTTGTGCTGTCGGCAGTTGGCAAGGGAAGGAGAGTAGATTCGCTGTCCAACCAGCCCCAGTAATCGATATAGTCAGATCGTTGCCGTTGAATCCAGGAACATGTAAGCCTTGCTCGGCTCCGGCCGTAGGATCCAAAGCCCAGACTCCAGGCTCCAGCGACGCTTTGTCATGACACAAGACTATACATGCTTCGCACTGTCGGTGTGAATTTCTTTACCTTTCGGTTTTCGCAGTTTTAGGCTTGCCGTTGTTGCTGACCTACTTGGAGGCACAAGTATCAGGGTTTTCAGCAGGGTTATATTTGGGATGGCCTTGTGTAGTTCAACTCCACGTGCTATCTGCTTACCAAGACGGCCAAGCCTCGAAGTCGTGCATCAGTTGGTAAACTCAAGACTTGAGTTCAAACCCGACATAAAATTCGGACTTCTGGGCTGAAACCTGGCATAAAGTGAACATTAAAAGTCAGTTGTGGAAGATGTGGACGCTACCTGTCTGAATTGAATGTATTGCTGACATTGCTGGCGCCGCTCGCTGGATTCTTTGATTGAAAAGATATTTTGTATTCAATTCTTTTGTTGTTTGGCCCAGCTTTTTCGGTGTGAATACGCCGAAGATTCATGCTAGCATGGCTGTGTGGCTACAGTAAGAGTGACCACATGCTTTTGCGTGCGGATTGTCTGCAAGCTGAGGAGTCGAACGGCGACGAGATTTGACAGGGAAATACGGGAAATATGACAGATTCCTGGCAGATCCAAGCGCAGAATCATGACTGCTGGTGTTGTTGTTCTTGCACGCCGGCACGAAGTGTTATGGGATGTTGTGGGTGCGAGCTTCGGCGGGTTTGTAGGTTGGTAGGCCTCTGTTCAACTGTGTCATTGTGTGGTTGCAAATGTAAGCAGGTTTTTGACCCTCGGCGTAAGGTCAGAGAGTGGGTGGTTTTGCGTCGTAAGTCGCGAGGCTTAGAAACTCATGTTTTGTGCGTGTTGGCCGTGTTGGCAGCAGGCTCTCTTGACCCCCAAAGTGCAATCCCGGTCCAACCTCCTAATGCTTACACCACGGCCTGTGCGATGGTGTGCAACACAGGTTCTAACGGTGCTTGCGGTGTAGGGCCGTGTAGGGTCAGAGGGTTTAGGTGCTTCGGGTTTAGGATGGGTCTTTAGGTTTAGGGTTTAGGGTTTAAGGGTTTGGGTTTAGATTTTAGGGCTCAGGGCTTACCCTTGAACAAGGATCGCTTCAAACCTTAGGGACTCCAGAAGGGCCAAGGATCCAGATACTGTTGATGATAGAAATCCTGCACTACCTTAAGGACCCTAAACTATGGGGTATTACGGTATATTCCTCATTATGGGTAATGCAGGATTTATATCATCAACCGAATTACTTCTCTATTATAGGAGAGTGAAAAGCCTACAAAAAAACTTTACTCTATCCATTAATGTGGGGGCCTTAATAATTAGAATAGGGTTTTGGAGGGTTCCCTATTATAGTTATAGTATAATATACCCCCAAACCCTGTTCTAATTATTAAGAATATTACCCAACCTCAACCCGAAACAATGAACGAGACGATATATATATATATATGCGTGCTCCGAACCCAACATCCTTCCAATGTTTAACGCCGAAGGCCGGATAAATCCTAGGAAACTAAGCTGCCAGGGTTTAGGGTTAGGTGTTTCGCATTGAAAGTTCACTGATGCCCGGCCTGCGTAACTTAGTTTCCAAAGAAGCAAGGTTTAGTTGCTCAATGTGCAGAATCTATGACTGTACTGTATGATACGCCATACCCCTTGACTCCTTGATAGGGCCTATGAGACTTTAGCGATTCAGCTGTTGGCAACTCCTCACAACATCATAAAAATCATCAGGGTCCGGACCCGGACCCTTCAATCACCCGTGTCTGGGTAAAAGATCGCAAACAATCGATCAAGCCCCAACTCCAACGAATGATGCGGCTTCCGTCATAGACATATCATAATCAGGCTGTCCTTCAATGATCCGTGTCTGAGTAAGAGCCAAAGAGGCAATCAATCAATCAAACCCCCAACGAGTGCTGCGGCCTCTGGACTTTGGCATTAGCTGCTTCGCTGGCCCAACAAGTACCGCGCAACTACTTTGACCATATGCAACCCTTCATTGTGCTGACCGGTTTGCCGCAGTCTGTAAGACTTAAAATAAATCAAAGAGACGCGATATATGTTTTTGGATTCAACATCTATGCAGTAAACCGCGGAAGGTTGACCAGCACTTCCAAGATCTGTTATCTACATGCACGGGCCAGAGATCTGACAATGATGATGAATGACGACCAATGACGGCTCGACGACCCATCACTTCCAATCCGTTTTTGCCATGCTTCGGCCTAATCATCTTCGTTGCCTCCGCATAGACATAGGACCTTGCGGGGATGCCTGACATGCGCATATTGCTTGCAGGGCGGCACAAGTGGTGCAAGCGCTGGTAACTAGTATCGTCATGGCGCACACGTTGCATTATACACGCTCGCGAAACCCGTCTAGGCGATACGCGTCTGCATGCAGTTTGACAAGTAAAGGATTGCTTTGCCATCGTTTCGGAGAAAATGTTGGATTCCTGGAATTCATGTCAGCATTCCGATGTTGATGGGTTGTTTTTGCGGGCTTGGGAGTTTAGAGCTTTCGGCTTCTACAGGTTTGTACCGATGAAATCACGAGTTATGACTTCAGTAGTGTAAGTTTAAATTACGGAAGTGTTGTTAGCACCACCGCTTTTTCAGGTTTTGCTTTTCGGGAGGGTATCTTTTCAGGTTCTGCTTATTAGTGGGTATTTATCCAAGCGTTGCTTATTGGGGGGTATCTTTACAGGTTCTGCTTATTATGGGAGTATCTTTTCAGGTCTTGCCAATCGGGGGGGGTGTTTTTTCAAGTTCTGCTTATTAGGGGGTTTCCTTTCAGGTTCTGCTTATCGGGGGGTATCTTTTCAGGTGTTGCTTATCGGGTGTTATCTTTTCTGGTTCTGCTAGAGCGCACCCCAGCTTTTTGTAGAGTTTCGACGTTTCAAGTTTTCGTTTTTTCGGTTTAGAGGTTCGAGTTTGCCAGCTTTGGGTCTGCACGCAAGGCTCTAATTCATGGCTGCTTTGAAAAGCGTTAAAAAAAGGCCAATACTTAACCTCAAACCCTGGAGCCGGTAAATTGTAAGCTCCGCCCACCTTGTCCCACCACTCCCCGCCGTCTCCATTAACCAGCAACCGTTCTCGTCTGCCGCCAGCTGAGGATCCCAGCAACAATGCGGCTTCTGACCGGGAGGCCACATCCGAACTGCCCGCGGGGTTTCCAGATTTGGGGTTTCGCATTTGCGGCACAGGGCTCCAGACCAATCCGACAGGGTCAGAAGGTCCTAAACGGGTTTTGGGTTTTTTCTAGCAGAAGGAGTAATATCGACATCAGCTTAGATCAGAAGCCTGCGCATTTCATACCACATACATAGCGTAGCAGTGTGGCATTCTTCGACCAGAGGATCCGAGTAACGTGTTATGTTTTTGCTGCTGTTGGTCTTGCTGTTGGAGTGCAGACCCGGTCGAACGTGTTCTTGCGGCGGGCCCTCCCCGAAATAAACTTAAGCGTTTTTCGTTGTAACTCTATTCGGAAACCATACTTGCACCCACTTATTCAGACCTGCAGAGGCGCATGTGGGCGCTGTGAGTTTAGGGCATCGGGCTTATGGTAATGATCCCCTACTCTGAATCTCATACACAGAAAGCACAAGCTCATCAGCCCCGAATATGCAAACCCCCAGCTGGAAACCCGGACCCAAAAGCCGACACCCGAAGCGGCATCCTCATGTCCTTGCAGTGCAGCATAGAAAGACCCAGCACTAATCATCTGAACTCTATGTTCCAACTCTGTGGGATTCACTATACACCCTCCCGAAACACCCGAAACCCCTCTAAACCCTTAAACTTCCCTCAGTCCGAGACTCCTAAACGCCACTATGCCCGAGACCCCAAAACCAGCAAGTTTCCGCATGCTTGATTGGCCAGTTTTTGGGAGGCTGGGTTTAGGGTTCCAGGGCTTTCGGGCGTTTACGGCTCAGGGTGTGCGCGGGCTTTGTAACGGGTTTCGACTTTTCGAAGGGTGCACAAGGGCATGCCAGGGTATGTTTGAAAGGGTTTGTGGATGAGGCTGTAGAGTCACAGGCACAGCCCCCAGTGGTGAGAAAGCCTCCAAGAACATACTCCCAGAGTGTGTGTCTGAGAGCATGCCCGAAGCTGGCACAAGGCACATGCAGAATAGTGATAATAACAACGCCCGAATTGGCGACCAATACGATTACTAAAATTAATACTAATACCAATACCAATACTACTACCAATACTTTATACTAATATTCATACTACTAGTATTAATACGAAAATGAATAACAATACTGGTGTCAATACTAATCAAAACACCGAGAAAAGCCCACAATTGTTAGTCTATGATGTGGCCCGCCCCCCCCCCCCCCATCCAAAAAATAGCGCACCGATTCTCAAATATTCCCTGGCCACCTTTCCCTTTGTTCTTGCACCGAAAAAACCTTTGTTGTTAACTTATGCTGTGGCCCCTAGTAGCCCTAGTATTACTACTACTACTACTCCTCCTCCTCCTCCTCCTCCTCCTGCTGCTGCTGCTGCTGCTGCTGCTACTGCTGCTGCTGCTGCTACTGCTCCTGCTGCTGCTGTTGCTACTACTACTACTGCTGCTACTACTACTACTACTACTACGACTACTACGACTACTACGACTGCGTGGAAGACTACTAGAGAACCAGCACCACTCCTCCTCCTTCTCCTCTCACTACTACTACTACTACTACTACT